TGCAACGCATTTTCTGAAAACGTCGCAAAAGTATTGCGCATGCCACATAAAATGACTTTCGACACGTTACAAAACACGTCTGAATGTCACGAGGTGCCACGCCTGCCACGCGAAACGCACAAATTACCCCTTCTGGAGAACTTACCAGAGGCACGGCCATATAGCAATCGCGCGGACGGTTGCGAGTGGTTGCGGACGGTTGGGCAACGGGAACCCTTGCTACGCATTCGGGAAAGAAAGGGAAAGGAAGGGAACGGAAGGGACAGGAAGGGAAAGGAAGGGAAAGGAATGGAAAGGACGGGAAAGGAACGGAAAGAAAGGGAAAGGAAGGGAAAGAAAGGGAAAGAAAGGCAAAGGAAGGGAAAGGACGGAAAAGGAAGGGAAAGGAAGGGAAAGGACGGGAAAGGAAGGGAAGGAAGGGAAAGGAAAGAAGAGGTTGATTTGGAAATCAGCCGCCGTCGCATGACACCGTGCTCAGAAAACGAAGATTTTGCCCCAGAACGAAGATTCGGCGGGTCCGGCTTCAGAGGAAAAAAGGTGAGGACCAACCAACCTGACCATGGAAAAAAATTATGGAAAAACATTATTTTTAATGGGGCCCTCACTATTTCTATGGCCATGGAAACCATGGCTATGTTAAATAACCAGATGTATAGATGCGGCAGTGGCTTGGCAATTTTGTAGGATACGATACCCGTTTTTTCCCAAAAGTATCTCCGATGCTTGGGTTCTCGTTTAGTTTCTCGTTTGCAGCGGGGGAGCGATACGTAGTGTTGGACGGAGATGGGAAGGAAGGAAAGAAGGAAGGAAGGAAGGAAGAAAGGAAGGAAGGGAGGAAGAGGAAGAGAAGGAAGGGAGGAAGGAAGGAAGGAAGGGAGGAAGGAAGGAAGGAAGGGAGGAAGGAAGGAAGGGAGGAAGGGGAAGAGAAGGAAGGAAGGGAGGAAGAAAGGGAGGGAGGAAGGAAGGGGAGGTGCAAATAACTTGCGGACAGCTTCGCCGGGAGGGAGCGAGACAGCATGCTGGACGGAGGGGAAACCGTGGAAATAGCTTGGGGAGAGCTTCGCTGGGAGGGAGCGAGACAGCATGCTGGACTCAGAGGCTTTGACACAGAGAAGTCGTTTGCACAAAACAAAACCTTGCTTCTGTGTAAAACGTCCTCTGTGTGCAAAAGTCTCTGTAGAGCTGAAAAAATGAATTTTGCAGTGAATGCGCCCATAATATTCATCTTCCAAAAAGGTGCTGGCAAGAGGCGAAAGGGAAATAAACCAGTTATTACTCGAATTTGTTTGCTGTCGTTTTGCTTTTGGGTTCTCAGGCCCCCCCTTGTTTGGCAGTGGTAAAGTGGTAAAGAAACTTGTTGCCTTTTCCTCGGTTCTGTAAAGTCCACGAGTTTAACATCTTGGGCGTTTTGGGCGTGTTGGGCGTGTGAAGTTTGGTTCAAGGTTTCATGGACCAGTACGACTTGGAGCTGGACACCGGGCTGCGATCTCTGGTGATTTGATCACAAATTGTCAGCCCCTTTCCATCCATTTCCATCCCTATATTTCTTGCGTCTTTCCCTGTTCTGAAAATTTCTTCATGTGCAACAAAAATGAGTTTGTAAACCTCTTTGGCAAGCAACATTCCTAGCAAACGACAGAGTTGCTTGGACAATGAAACGCGTGACGTGATCTGGGCTTTCTACAATAAATGGATATAAATGGCAGTGAAAAAATGACATCTGTTGGCTACGAGGGAACGCAATTGATAGTATCCCCTCACCATTTTCAAACATGCAATACATACATCAGAAGTGTACCAAGTCTTGGCCTTTGTATAATGTTCAGACGTACAATGCCTGTACATGCTCAAGCATATTCATTAGTTTCAATACAAATAACAGTTGTGCGAACTGTGAAGACTACAGAACATCCTAATTTTGATCATCAAAATGCTCTGGAGTCATACATCACTTTGGATACTTTGGAACAAGTCATCAGGTCATGGCTGTCATGGCTGTCATGGAAGCCATGGCTTGTGACATCGTCGTCAGGACGCGGGGCAGCAGCAGCTGAGGGCCTGGCCCCGAGCCTCGTTGCCCTCCGAGCAGCCCGGCGACTGGAGGCGACGCAACGAAAAGCGGCTCCCGTTCGGAGAACCACACGGAAAAGTTATGCAATAATATACATTTATATACATACATATATATGTTATAATATAAATTATATGTTTTTTTAAAAAAAAATGTTATAGTATAGTGAATGTTTGTTAACACATATTAATACATATATGTTAATATATTGATGATAAGATATCACATGATATCACATTACTTCAACTTATTACATACATATTTCACGCATGCTAGCAAATATAGTCTTCTTCGCATTTTGTTGATTCATATCATTTAATCATGGTCTCGTAGGTCTGTTCCATATCTACCAGACAAGGCGACTGAACATCTACCAGGAGCATGTCCACACTTGGTATTTGTTTGGTGGCAGCTTGACATTTCTCATTTCGACATATTTCGACAGGCAGCTGGAGGCTTTGGGAATGCCTGGGCGCCTGCAGGCCCGGTCAGGGCCGACGGCCAAAGAAGTCAAAGTGGAACTGAAATCATCCTAGATGGTAAACAAATGTAAACAAGATTGCGAACAAGGCTAAAGAACGCTAAAGAGCTGCCGAAAAAAAAAAAACTATTAAAACTATTATCTTGATTTATCTTGGAACTTTGCTGTTTGCAGCTGTGCCGCGTGAACCCGACCGCCAGGGTTTACTGCTAACTGTTCCAGGGTGCTTGGAGCCTGTTATTGGCCTTGTGGACACCGGAGCCTCCCACACGGCCAGAAGCTTGAAACCTTTTGAGTGGTTTTGGCAATACCATGACCATATATGACCATGCCTTGTTCCAGTTTTTTTCCACTGCTTCGCTTGTGGTGGACAACAAATGGTGAGGGAGTCAGATTGTCCAGCATAGCACAGCACAGCTCAAGAGCAGAGCCTTTGCGCGTGTTAAGCCATGTTGTTCAAAGTACAGTTGACGACCAGAGTCTCTCAATCCAATTTATACTTATGCCTCGGCATCAGATTGAAGCCTTGATTCTGAAACTTCTTCACATTCGTAGCGCTCACAGACTGACGGTTTGACTGAGGTTCTGAACAGACAAGCTGCCTATGTTCTTGGATTGCGGGTGCGCATTCTCACTCCTGTGTAAACCAACTTGAGGGAAACGGACTCTTCAGTTGGAGGCAGAGAACAGAGATTCGAATGAGGATGGGAAAGAATGACAAGACACTCTACATAGATCATGAGGGTTGAGAGATGTTGAGCGCAACAAAATCTGGCCAAACTGAAGACTTAGATGGACACCTGACCGAAGAGGAAAACTCTTCCCAGGCTTGAGGCGCCACTGCAGCTGTGATGGCTGAGTATAGCTGAGTTTCAAATTGAATATTCCGTAAGAAGAGCCATGAAGAGCTGAAGAGCCTGCTATTACCACTACCTGCTATTAGCTCAATATTCAAGAGCCATATCAATTGAAAGTTGCGCTTGATATTGTCACTACCAGCTTCACTGATTTTGCCTCCCCTTCTAAATTCTCTTGAAGTAAGCTGAACCCCTTGTGAGACTGGTCACTGGTCAACTGAAGCTGGAAGGTCATGATCAAAACGGCAAGACCAGGGGAGTCTGGGAATAGTATTCCAAATATATATATATAATATATTTATATATATAGTATATCGCAAATATATGGCTAGACTAATATAGAGTAAAAGATTCCAAACAGCAAGATAAACAAAGTTATGAAGATGCATGGCATGGCTAATTTTTGAGCGCACATATGACCCGTGGGTACCTCGATGTCGTGGCCATGGAAGTCTCTATCGGCAGAATTACTGAAATGGCTACATCAACTCATGGAAGAAGAGCGCAGCGAACAGTGCGACGTGGAAGATTTTCTGCAGCGCGCAGCTCTTCCACTGCTTTTCTACGCAAAGAAAGCCAAGAACGAAATCAACAGCGAAAAAACCGACAAAACCCACAAAGCCGAAGGGCAAGCCGAAGAGGAAGCTGGGCAAAGCGGGTATGCCAGCGACGAAGCGAAGGAGGCAGCGAGTGCTCTTCTTTGCATCCGACTCTTAGCGCAACAGCTGCAGAGCATGGCCAGTTCTGCCAACAGTTCTGTCATGGCACAGGAAAACTCCAGTTCCAACGTGGATGCGGAGGAAGTTGCAAGCAGACCATGTGCAGAGCACCTGCCAAGTGCAGCTGGCGGCAGGTGCATGGCGCCGGAAATCGAAGATTTGGCGTTGGCCATGGCACATTGGGTTTCGACCGAGTGGTGCTCTCCCCGCATTGAAGTGGTAGCAGCTTGGCATTGACATGAAACAAGTGGTGGTTACTGATGTTAATTGCTGTCTTCCTTTGATTCAATTTATTTCATATTGAGTGGGCCCACCTTGTTTTGGGATTGGCGATATTGCCAGGATTCGTTGGTATTCGACGTGCCAGGACTACTTGCCATGCTGCCGTGAAGAGAAGTCCAATTTTCTTCTGTCCAAAGACTGTGACCATTTGAAGATGAAGGCCGTCTTAGACATTGTGCTGCCAGGAGTCCCAGACTCCATTCAAAGTCCATTGAAAGTCGACTACGGCATTCAGAGACAGAGTAAGCCTTGTAGAGGCACAAGACTATGTCGAATTCTGGAAAGAGTTCCTATAGTAGCCACAGAACTGACATATGCATTCTCAAACGAACACCATGAGACCTGAACTTGCCCTGTACTGACGTTTGAAGCTTTGATATACTGAGGTTTGCTCCAATGCCAGATGGTCAGGACATAGCTTGTCTCGCATGTTCCCCACTTGTCCGGTTCTCAGGGGTTGTAATAGTGTATAGCCTATAGTTTCATTATACTTTATGCTGGTGACGCCTCTGCCACCACCCACAATAATTCTTGGAAAATAGATAAAAATAGCAAACCATGCGAAACCATTCGAAGCCTCAAAACTGCTGTACCGCTGGCCAAATTCCAGACTACAAACCCTAGACAAAGCTCCGGCTCCAAACCGAGTTTTATGTCAGTCAGATAATCAGATACAGATTATTGTCAGATACGCTTCAGCTTCTTGTCTAATGTCAGAAAAACACAATCTGCCAGATCCTCTTCAGACTCACATTGTATGTCAGAAATACCTCAGATTGATTATCTCAGATGTATCTCAAACCTACTGGTAGCTCAGATTGGAAGCCTCTGAACATCAGATGTAAACCAGATGCACCTCAGATGTAGGTCAGATCTTCCGCTTTTGTCCTTAAATGCCTTAGATAATTGTCAATCCACCGCATATTTATGTCAGATGCATTTGGATGCATTTGGAGTTTTCGGTTTATGGGAAGAATGCTTGAAAGCCCAAAGAGCTGGAAAGTGAGTAGTTGTGAGCGAAAATGCATTGCCGACACTGCTCACCACATTGGGATATATGTTTGCAAGAGAGACTTTTTGCATGCGGTTGATGTGCCACTTTGCTACTGAAATATCCACCCTCAGCCATGCTTGCATATTGTGCATGTGTTGTGCATGTGTTGTGCATGCGTTGTGCATATTGCGTCCACAGGAGATAGGACGACAGCGGTTGCTTCATCATGGCCCCTGGCATACTTTTAGTCCAGTGCCTGGTGGATGGCACACTTCCTACCCTGCAGGCGCTTCGTGCTCTGAATGGATTCTGTTTTGACATCACAATGACATTATATGGCATTCGTTCTCTTTTCATAATATTTTTCACTCAAGACATGTGAAGACGTGTCGATACAACAAAATCAATGGGCCATGCTAGAGTTGCACGGCACAGCACCACGATTGCTCAGATGCAAGGGCTGTAGGTGAATGTAGGTGCCATGGAGAGCAATTGCAGATTCTGGTTGACAATGTTTTTGTTGCAAAAGGCTATTTCACAAGAACAAGTTTGACACATCTTTCTGCAACTTGTTCAAAACGGTTTTGAAAATGTGTTTATTATGTTATAAGTTATAACATGTTATAACATATATACGGTAACGACATTTAAATATGTGGAGGGCGGGCCAGACCGCGAGGCCCAGGAGGCAGTATAAAATACCAGTTCGTATATCCAAATGTAGTTACCGCATGTTTAAATGGATTGGATTCTGTAAATTCTGTATGTTTAAATGGCCGGGCGGGCCAAGGAAAACCTTCCCGGAGGTAATCTAAAATACCTTTTCGTATATTTAAAAGTCCGTATATTTAAATGTAGTTACTATATATCAAATGTTATTTCAGAAATCTGATGTTCTGTTTGTACTGGAGGTGCTGCGTTGCATCGCTGGGAAGAAGTTACGGCAGCTGGGCTTCTACTGCTGGCAGCGGCCAAGACCTTCAAACAGCAAAGAGAAAGAGACCTGCTGAGCGCGGAGACGGCGGAGACCGAAGAGACACAAGAGCTCTGTAGACCACAAGAGCACCCTGCACAGAGCTCTGCAGTGTTGGTCTATGGAGCCTGCGATGGGCTGCTCGCCTCATTTCTGGCGCAACACGCGCCGGAGGCCAGGGAAATACAGTATATGGAAGATACAAAGCGGAAACAAGAAACATAGTGGCATGTGTATGATGTTTCTGGCATAAACTAGTTTAACCTATAGTTTAACTATAAATCAAACCAGTAGGCTCTAAGTCATAGCATGATATATGTATGATGTAGATAACCTTGTAACCGTGTCGCACACATAGCCATACCCTGAATCATGATTCAGCAGAGATATTTCAGATATTTCCCTGCCTGGGGCTTCTAATTTCCTCATTTGATGTTCTTCTCAGCTTCGATATCCCCCAAGACAGGTGCAGGTAGACTTACTCGATGGAGAACTCAGCGGACTCGATTTGCTTCGAAAACATTTCAATCTTCGACTTGGTGGTCCTGGACTTCTCAAAGGCAGCTGCAGAGTGCTCGGCAAACCCTCGCCAAATGAGAGAGAAGCGGGTTCAGCAGATGTGGATTCAGCGGACGTGGAGGTGGCGTCAGATACTGGTGGGACGGACGAGACAGGTGAGACAGGAGAAAGGATAGCGTCCAGAGAACACTATGACGGCATCGTTGTAATGAAGCCCTTTGGGCAAAACTTCCGACCCAATCCATCCATCTCGTCCATCTCGTCCATCTCGTCCATCTTGCCTGGGGAAGGACCTGGTCAGCACCAAGAGCACCAAGTGAAGTCACCTCTGCCGTTGCGCACGTTGCGCAAAGGTGGTTTGCTACTGGTGGAGGCAACGCCAGAAGACCGAAACCAGTTAGAGAAGTTGGGAGAGGTCTTGGAGCTCAACGACTTGCTCCAGGTGCAGCTGAAACTGGATGTCATACGAGGTATGGATCAAATGAGGATGGAAATGCAGGATTGTGTACGTGGATACTGGTGGATACTGAGGAAACTATTGTATTATATTGTATTTATTTGTATTTTGGTTTTCCTTCGTTATTTGGGACACGCTTTTGGGGGAAATGCGGGACAAGTCTCCTCTCTCACGGGTCGTTCCATTGCATTTTGTTCTAATGCGTTCCTCCCTGCCCCTATCACAGCCTATCACACCAAACCAGGTCCCTCATGCTCTTGCCGACAAACATCGACTTTTCTACGTGATCAATATGCATCAATTAAACATATACATATTATACCCTGAAAGTCTTCGACTAAACAAAGTTTAGCCTTTCTGAGCACCTAAACTTTGGGGAGAACGCCTGACCTTTGGCATTCTGGGATGTCTTTGCGGCTCAGGTGGCTATATGCTGTAGTTCTTTCATCCCAAAACCATTGGCATCGAGCAACGGGATCAGATCATCTGTGTGTTGAAGATTTGGTATTCCAACCAATGATGGTTATATATAACATACATTAAACCGACTTCAGACATACATCATCATACATCAAATTTGGCCTTGGTCGACTTGGTCAGCGCCCCGAAAGCCATCGCTCTCAGGGCGATGATGACCTGGATGAGGATGTCGATGCCACGGTGCTTTGCATCGTGACGCCGAGAGCCAGGACCAAAACACGAGAGCTGTCCTTTATAAATCTAACATAATTCTAACCTGATGTAGACATAATATGAAGTAAACATCAAGAAAACAAATGAGATATAGAAATGAAGAAAGCAAACTGCTTGAAGTACTTTGCCAAACGCAAAGACTGGAACGGCGGGGCGGCTTGGACTGAGAAGTCGCATGCAACAGAGAGAGTCAGTTGGCCTGTAGCATCGCATGCACCAGTGGGGGAAAAGCTTTGGAAGCGCTCACATTGAAAACAAAGAGCACTTCTGGAAGCACAGGTTGCACAAGTTTGAACAAAGGTGCACTCAGTGCCTGTAGTGATCTGTAGTGCTTTGATGCGTTTTGTATTTGGACGTTGATGTCCGTCACTAGGACTCTGAACGGGCTGGAAACTCCGCAGATGGACTCTTTCAAGGTTTGCACACTGTCGATATTTGGTACGACTCGCTGGAGCTGAACAATAGCATATTCTGTGAACATCTTTGAATCGTCTTCAGAATGTTCAGAACCTTGAGTTTGTTCACCTATGGTCCGAGTTGAAGTTTGAGATCTGTTGAAGTCTGTTGAAAGGAGCTCATTTGCCCAGAGAGCTGGTTTGAATTGCTGCTTGAACGCGGAGGAGCGGTTGGAGCTGATCAAAGTAAGATGCATAATAATGCGTAATATGCATAGTGAAAATGATGGACGAGCCTTGAAAAGAGAGCAGTGAATCTGAGTGCAGTTTCAAGCATGTTTGAATATGTTTGAATATGTTTCAATGTGGATTGCAGAAGAGTCATCAGCAAAGGGATGAGACTGCAAATCTGTGTAAAGACCAACTCAGTATTATTTCCTATGAGTTCGGCTCATATATGTCCTATGTATTCCTATGTTCAACTTATATCAGTGCAACTTGTGGATCTTGTTTGACCTTTGCTCAGAGGAGTCGTTGGAGGAGCGCCGGACGTTCTCAACGCCCAAAAGACACGTGTACCTTGGAGCCAAAACTCCATGGCGACACTTCGGACATGGCAAAGTTTCAGCACTTGTTTGACACTTTGCAAATCTTTGCAACTTGTTTTACCTTCTTCTGATTAATTGTTCTTTATGTGTTTCTCAACAGTTTTCAAAGTGGTGCTGAGATATGCTGAATACTGTCTCGAAGTGCCGGTGAGTCTGCTATAGTATCTATAGTTTGCTGAGGTTGTTCCTGCTGGTAAGATGTGCGCAGAAGATCTGGCAACGTTGACACGCCTTGCTGGCAGAGCGACTGACTGTGGCCGAGAGATTCGCTCCCCTCAATCCGACAGCTGGCAGGCACGCAGAAAGGGATACTTTTCGCAAGAAAAAACGCAGCAGAAGAAAAAACATGTAGAGAGGAAACACCACAGGGGACAGTTCTGCCGTGCGGAGTTTCATGAATAGACTGAAACAAGAAATTCAGGTCAAAGACAGTTCTCCATCTTTATCATCTTTGTCATTTTTTGTTCCCCCCTTCAATGCTTTTGCATTTTGGCATTGTTCCAAATCTCATGGAGCTCCTGAAGAGGTGTTGTTTCTTCAGACAAACGGATTCTTCGAAGACCAAGCGCCCCATCTACTGAAGCGTCTCGCTGATATTGCCAGGCTGGTTTCATACACAAAAATGAGTGTCTGTTGTTTTCTTATTCTTATTGTTGATCAACATGTCAGGATCTTGTTGGGACCCGGTTGGGACACATCTGGAAGGTTGAGTTTGATCAACAGCAGACAGGTCAGTTGCTCTGAAAGAGAAGTGGGTGACAATGGAGCAAGCAGATCGATTGCAGGCCCTCAATGAAGAGCATCATGGAGCATCCACACCTAGCAATGATGCGTTTGTTTGTATCATATTTTTTGATAACTTCTGCAGCTTTCTCAATGAGTTCTGCTCTCAACGAGATCTGCTCCTGGATAAATAATCTTGCATATCATGCATATATATTTGTAGTCAACTGCGCCTATTGTGTCGTCTAGTTTAAAGATGTTTAAAGACAACTTAGGGACAGGTTAGGTCAGTTGGTCTTCATTTGGCATACGCAGCAGATCGCAGCAGTGCAATGTAGAGAATGTAGTGCAGGCAAGGGTAATCGAATGGCACCAGCAGGCACGACAGTGCAACAAGTTGGCAGAGTCTTTGGAGTCTTTGATTCAGTGCTAAAAATCCACTTTTGGAGTCTTTGGATTTCACGAGTCGAGTCTCACCTTGAAGGACCAAAACAACAAACCTGTGGATGTGGCTTATTGATGCTTATTGATGCTTATTGTGGTTTGTTGTTTCTCATGTTTCTCGCAGGATGCTCCGGGTCCTGGCATCCCAGACCCCAGACACTATGACATGGCTGGACTCTGAGAGTGGGGAGTAGCAATTTCAACGAAAGATTAAACACTGTCACTATAGTGCGCAACATCGAGTTTAACCTTGGTTCAACGTAGAATGAATCATATGGAATTCCAAGCTCACAAAGTCTGATAAAGGTGTTGCTTAGTAAAATGTTGTTGGTATTTGCCAACCCGTGCTGATAGACGGCAAACTTTCTATCCGGAGAATGGAGGCTTACGGAGGCCTCCCTATTGCTTGCAGAGCAGACATTGCAATTTGCTGCTACTTTGACACAGCTCTCAGGACAGTCTGATCACAGTGGATGTCATGTGTTCGGCGACTCGGCGGCAAAGCTCTCGGACGGTTCGACACAGCCTACAATGCATAAAACATGTGCCATCCATTTCTCCTTTTTTTCCCTCGGATATCCTTAAGGATCAACATCTTTCACACACTAAGATCATCTAAGATCACTAAGCACCAAGCCAGGCTTCCAGGCTTCCAGGCTTCCAGGCTTCAGCCAGGCCCCAGGTTCACCAGGTTCACCAGGTGGGGCGTCAGGGGCGTCAGGAGCCTGGCCGTGACTTTCTCGGTGGCCAGTTGCAAACACTCGAAGTGGACGGACTCAAGGCGTCGAGAAGAAACTGTTTCCATCGAAAGACGCACTGAAGAAACAAAATACGGGGAAATACATTGGAAATACATTCGAAATACGGAATCATTCCGGGAACAAACTTCATCAAACTTCCAAACTGTCCGAGCACGCAATCGGGCTGCAAGGAGCACTCCTTCCAGCTGTGCGACATTCTGGTCTTTCAGGCAGAGTCTGAACAAATTCTTTCAGAATCTGGTCTCGATATCTAGCCTACTAGGAAGACACAAACAAATCCGGTAGTTGATGGTAGGTGCAGATAAGTTGCTAGGATCAATGTGAAGGCCAACATACTCAGTTCCTCTTGCCCCGGTTTCGTTTGTTTTTGAAAGTGCTTTTCCCTGGTGTTCTGGCGTATTATGCTGTCAGTCCATGGGACTGTTCGACTTTCCGACTTGGAATATTCAGTTAATATTCAGTTATTTACTTGCACGATGGTCAATTCCCTTTGCCTGCACAACCGACACAGATAGTCCTTTCTTGCTGATTCGTTTCGAGATTTACAATTTGTATACAATTTGCATGAGGCCCACAAGTACCACTGCGTGGCTCCAGTGGTACAGGGATGTCGACGTGCGCTGGTTTTGGAGCCACATGTCTTTATTTACGCGTCGCCTTCGAACTTCAGACAGCAATTCTGGTTTTTCAGGGCTAGGATGACATCCCAGAGTGAAGAATCACACGATCATACTGTCCTCTAAGATTCTGGGATGGACCTGCACGACATTGTCCTCACAGGCCCAGAAGTGCAAGTTGCTAAAGTTGCTACCCTATTTGTCAGAGTATGTCAGAGTGAAATCCTGCCGAAATCCCACTCTCATTTTGACATGGCTCCCATCGCAGCAGTTGTTTCAGGCTTTCGAAACTTCAGAACTGTTTCTGCGTTTGTCTTGTTTGTCTTGTTTGTATTTGTTTGTTTCTTTGTGACTTTGTTTCGGTGTGTCTTCAGACGATCGCTCCAGACACTGTCAAAGGTGCACGAGCTTCGAGCGCATCTGCCCACAGGAGAACAGGTTGGAGCTTGGCAATGGAAAAAACGTGTGCAACTTGTAGAACTGTCTATTCACTCTGGGAATGAAATGAATGAACACGCTTTGCACTCAACAAGGTTTTGAAGTAAAGCGAAGTCGCTTACCTCATGTTTTCAGAGGAATTGAAGATTGATCAAGCAATTTTTAGAATCAGCGTGGTTCGATGCACGGAAGGCACGGTGAGCACACAACAAGAAAGGCTCTTGGAAGGCCACAGTGCTGTCATCGATTATCATCGATTCAGATGCCTTCGCTCTCCCAACCAGCTTGTGGACCTGGACCCCGATTTTGTAGTGCTTTTTGATGCTTTTTGCTTGGGGTTCAAACCTGAAATTCCTATTCGATCACATGAATCACATGTGCTCAGGTTGAATGGCGTGTTTTTTTTCTTTGCAGGGCAAGTGAGCTCTGAACCAACTGCAAGGTATCGTCACGTCATAAAAATGTCGACCCAAAAACACAAAATTACGATCATTTAGGGTTGTTTGAAGTTTTTTGCAACCATTTGCGTTTCTTTTTCCCCAGCTTGCTTTGCGGGTTGCATTTTTTTGCGGGTTGCAATTTGTACAGCTTGGACCGAAAAACAGAAAATGATCGGGTTTTGCGCAAACCACTTTGCTTGAGTCACGGCTAGCCCAAATAGCTTTACAGGGGCCAAGCACCGTGCAAAAAAAGTGATAACACTTTATTTGATTTGATGCTTGAAGATTTATTTGCTTTGCATGTTGATCGTTTTTGCGAAGAGAAAGCCAGTTTGCTGCAGCCGCAGTTTGTATGCGTTTAGTATAATAGGTTTAGTATGGTTACCTATTTGTTCCATTTCCCCCCCCTTTCTCGTCATCGTTTTTTGCCGCACCTGTGCAGGTTACTGCCGTTTCGCCTTGCAGCAAAGCGACGCCACCACCTCAGGAGTTTGTGAAGGTCAAGGTGGTTCCTGTGGTGGTTCCTGTGGTGGTTCCAGGTGCGAAATCCATCAATTCCGACGCAATGCGAATTGCTGGGAGGCGACACCGAGCCGCGGTCCCGAAGCAGATCCATCAGCATCCTTTGGCAGTGCAATGAGCCAACTCAGTGACGCAGCATGACGCATCGGTGTCAGCCTTCTGAAAATCCATCACCGGCATAGCTGAAACAAAGCTACGGCATAGCTGGTGGCATGCCTGTCAAAGATATGGGTATGCCGTGCCGATCCAATTCCATAGATGCAGAGATGGTGTGAAAGATACTTTGCTGGGGGTTTGCTGGCAATGAATGTCATGTCATGTAAATGTCATGCAAAATGCAGCGAGATGCAGCCAGGTGGAGGCAGTCAATGCTGCACGAAGAGTGCGGGGGATCGGTCTAGATGGCTCAGTGTCTCTCGGCAGCAAACAAAAACTTTGCGGAAAACCATCCACAAAGGCTTAAACAAAGGGAACATATTTTCTGGAGACTCCAAAAGTTGAACAGTCCACTGAGTGCTTCATAAGCACCATATGTACCTGCAAAGCATGCAATACCTTGAGTTCCAAAGACTATATACTATAGATATACTATAGATATTTATAGATCATAGATCATCTTTTTTAAGCTTTGCCCATCCTTTCTACTTATGTATGTCCCTTTTCATCTTGATTCTGGTTTAACGTCGTTTGACGCCGCTTGTTTCTCTTAGGCTTGAGATGCCTTTGCTTTCCTTAGAGAACATCACTCTGTCCAGTGCCCGTCACGTGACCATAAGCCCACATGAACCAGGCGGCGCTCACTGCTCGATGCTGGCGTCTATCTGTGTTTGGATTTGTCTTGAAAACAATATTCGAGATACTCACAGCGCCATTCGTAGAGACGCATAGCACTGGGTCAAGACATGTCAAGACCCACTGTCCTAAAGATTCCTAAAGCTGGACCCGTTAGTACCAGGGTTTTGACAGGAGCTGCCAGCAAACCCAACTGAAAGAGTCTTATGGGATCGGGCAACTTGTGCTCTCGGATGCTCTCGGTGTATTTGGGCACCATGGCTCGGAGCGCTGAGGGCTGAGGGCTGGCGGGGCTGAGGGCTGAGACAAGGACTGAGCCAATGCTGACGGGACACGCAGGTGAAGGAGCCAACCCAATGGAGGGACGTCGCTCTTGGCGGTTCCGCAACACAGGCGCAGTTTAAAACGACAGGACGCGATGGACGAGGAAAAAGGATCCAGATGATCCCAGATGGACACTCTGCTCTGTAGATTCTGGTTCTCCATTTAATTTTCCTCTTTGAATATGTTGAATATATGCATAATATATATTATGAATATATTATAAATATATATATATATATCATATGTAAATGTTAATCTATAGTTGGTTTTTATTTCTATGGTTTTGTATCTTGCGCATCTTGCGCCACGCCAGGTGCTCGGATCGAGGGGCCGATTGCCTCGTTCCCAGCCGCGGTCGATGTCGGCGTTGGCGACATCGGCCTGTTCCAGGCCATCAGATCCGATGTCGATGTCGATGCGGACTCCAAGGCCTTAAGGTGTGTCCAAAAACAACAGGTTTCTTTGATTTTCTTTGTCTATAGCAGGTTAGCAGATGTTAGCAGGTTTCAAGGGAAAGTATCACATTAATTGAGATGCAAGGTTTTCGATTGCACGCGGGTTCGGGTACACGCGCGCACCCTCAAAAGCGTCAAAGCCGCAAAGCCGCCATGGAACGCGCAAGCCGCAAAGCCGCCGAGCCGCAAGCTCTGCGACTCATGCGCCGCCTCCTGCGTTCATCGCCGCTGCGTTGCCACCCCCATGGATCGCTGAAGCCGCAAAGCCGCAAAGCCGCAAAGCCGCAAAGCCGCAAAGCCGCAAGCTCTTAGACGCAGGCGCCGTCTCCTGTGTTCATCGCCGCTGTGTTGCCAGAGCGTCAAGAAGCGTCAAAGAGCCGCAAAGCGCCAAGGCGTCGAAGCACCACGAAGCGTCAAGAAGCGTCAAAGCTTCAAGAAGCGGGACAGCGCCGAAGTGTCAAAGAGCCGCCAACGAAAGGCTGGCTGTGCTTAGAAGGGGACGGGCTTGCTTACGGAAGAGGTCTGCAACCAAAGGCTGGCTGTGTTTAGAAGGGGACGGGCTTGCATATTGCGAGACAATTCGTAGCGAATTCCAAAGAACAATGGCAGATGTTATGGCAACCCCCAAAAGATTGAAACGTAGCATTCGACTAAACGAATGGCAATTTTCCTTCCTATTTGGTTGAAAGATGTTATCTACAATGTCCCCCCCGGTGTGATAGACAGTCCCGGCCTATGCGACACAGACCTTGCAAAAACAACTTTAAACAAGAACAAGAACAAGAACAGCAACAACAACCACAACCACAACAACCACAACCACAACCACAACAACCACAACCACAACGACCACAACAACCGCAGCCACAACCACAACCACAACCACAACCAACAACAACAACAACAACAACAGCAACAGCAACAGCAACAGCAACAGCAACAGCAACAGCAACAGCAACAACAACAGCAACAGCAACAGCAACAACAGCAACAGCAACAGCAACTGCAACAATAACAACAAGAAGAAGAAGAAGAATAAGAAGAAACAGAAGAAGGAGAAGAGGAAGAAAAAGAACAAGACAAAGAACAAGAACGAATAGAACAAGGAGAACAATGAGAACAAGATGGAGAACAAGATGAAGAACAAGAACATAACTACAACAAGAACAAAAACAAGAAACAGAACAAGAACAAGAAGAAGAACACAACCACAAGAACAAATCTAAGAACAAGAACCACAACACCAACAACAAGAAGTCCTTAACTTTCGATCATCCTTGATGCTACGCTGCAAGATCTTGCCCTTGATTTTCGAACAACTTTGATGCTACGCTGTCAGATCACAGCCTGATCTTGCAATTATCTGGGATGCTACCGTGTAAACATGTTGTCCTTAACTTGCAAATCTTTGTTGCTACAAAGTAAGATCTTGTCCTTAGCCTTCAAGCATGTTGGATGCTACGCTCCAAGATTCTGTCTGTCTTGTCCCTAACCCTCAAACATGTTGGATGATACGCTGTAAGTTCTTGTCCTTAACGGACAAGAACCAGAACAAAAACAAAAACCACAACCACAAGAACAATATCAAGAGCAATAACCACATCAACAACAGTAACAACAACAACAACAACAAGAACAAAAACAAGAACAAAAACAATAGCAATAACAGGAACAAAATCAAAAACAATAACAAGAACAAGAACAACAACAACAACAGCAACAGCAACAACAACAACAATCAGAATAACTAGAATAAGAAGTGCTATTTAAAAAAACAAGAGCACAAACAACAATAACAACTTTAATAACCAGAACAAAAACGAAAACCAGAACAAGAGAAATAATAGCAAGTTCTTGGAAGATCTGGATGCTACCCAAGAAGATCTTGTACTGAACTTTCAATCATCTTGTATGATTTTGGTTGCTATGGAGTAAGACTTTATCCTTTACATTCAATCATCTTGAGTGTTACGGTGTAAGATCGTGCCCTTGACATTCAATCATCTTGGACGCTGCGCTCGAAGCGCTTGTCCTTAACTTTGAACATCTTGGATGATATGCTCTAAAATCTTGTCCTTGAATTACAAACATCTTGGATGCTTCCCTGTAAGATCTTACCCTTAATTTTCAATCACCTTTGATGCTACGGTGTAAGATCGTGCCCTGAACTTTCAATCCTCTTGAATGCTACTGTGTAAGCCTTGTCCTTAACTTGCAAACATGTTGGATGATACGCTGTAAGGGGGCGTTGGATGGTACGCTGTAAGCTGTTGTCCTTAGCCTTCAAACATCTTGGATGCAAGCATGTAAGATCTTGTCTATAAATTACAAACATCATTGGTGCTTCGGCGTAAGATCTTGTGCTTTCAAACATCTGGGGCGCTACAGAGTCAGATCTTGTCCTTAACTTTCGATCATCCTTGATGCTACGCTGTCAGATCGCAGCCTGATCTTGCAATCATCTGGGATGCTACCGTGTAAGATTTTGTCCTTGACTTGCAAATCTTTGTTGCTACGAAGCAAGATCTTGTCCTTAACCTTCAAACATGTCGGATGCTACGCTCCAAGATTCTGTTTGTCTTGTCCTAACCCTCAAACATGTTGGATGATACGCTGTAAGTTCTTGTCCTTGACGAACAAGAACAAGAACCAGAACAAGAGAAAGAACCAGAGCAAGAACAGCGATAACAACATTAACAACAAGAACACGAACGAAAACGAGAACAAGAGAAATAATAACAAGTTCTTGGAAGATTTGGATGCTGCCCAAGAAGATCTTGTCCTGAACTCTCAAGCATCTTGTATGATTTTGGTTGCTATGGAGTAAGACTGTGTCCTTAACTTTCAATCATCTTGGGTGCTACGGTGTAAGATCGTGCCCTTGACATTCAATCATCTTGGACGCTACGCTCGAAGAGCTTGTCCTTAACTTTGAACATCTTGGAAGCTATGCCCTAAAACCTTGTTCTTGAATTACAAACATCTTGGATGCTTCGCTGTAAGATCTTACCCTTAATTTCAATTATAAGATCGTGCCCCGAACTTTCAATCCTCTTGAATGCTACTGTGTAAGCCTTGTCCTTAACTTGCAAACATGTTGGATGATACGCTGTAAGGGGGTGTTGGATGGTACGCTGTAAGCTGTTGTCCTTAGCCTTCAAACATCTTGGATGCAAGCATGTAAGATCTTGTCTTTAAATTACAAACATCATTGGTGCTTCGGCGTAAGATCTTGTGCTTTCAAACATCTTGGGCGCTACAGAGTCAGATCTTGTCCTTAACCCTTCGATCATCCTTGATGCTACGCTGTCAGATCGCAGCCTGATCTTGCAATCATCTGGGATGCTACCGTGTAAGATTTTGTCCTTGACTTGCAAATCTTTGTTGCTACGAAGCAAGATCTTGTCCTTAACCTTCAAACATGTCGGATGCTACGCTCCAAGATTCTGTTTGTCTTGTCCTAACCCTCAAACATGTTGGATGATACGCTGTAAGTTCTTGTCCTTGACGAACAAGAACAAGAACCAGAACAAGAGAAAGAACCAGAGCAAGAACAGCGATAACAACATTAACAACAAGAACACGAACGAAAACGAGAACAAGAGAAATAATAACAAGTTCTTGGAAGATTTGGATGCTGCCCAAGAAGATCTTGTCCTGAACTCTCAAGCATCTTGTATGATTTTGGTTGCTATGGAGTAAGACTGTGTCCTTAACTTTCAATCATCTTGGGTGCTACGGTGTAAGATCGTGCCCTTGACATTCAATCATCTTGGACGCTACGCTCGAAGAGCTTGTCCTTAACTTTGAACATCTTGGAAGCTATGCCCTAAGACTTTGTTCTTGAATTACAAACATCTTGAATCTGGGATGCCGCTGTAAGACCTTGCCCTTAATCTTCAAACACCTTTGATGCTACGGTGTCAGGTCTTGTCCTTAAGTTCTAAACATGCTTGATGCTACTTTGCAAGATCCTCTCCTTAACTTTCCAGCATCTTGGATGTTACGGTGCAAGATTCTGTCCTTAACTTTCAAACATGTTTGATGCAATGCTGAAACGCCTTGTCCTTAACTTTCAATCATTACGGATTGTACGGTGTAAGATCTTGTCCTTAAGTTTCAACCATCTTGGATAACACGCTGTAAGACCTGTCCTTAACTTTCAATCATCTCGGGTGCTACGCTGTCAGGTCTTGTCCCCAACCTTCAGACATGTTGGATGATACGCTGCAAGTTCTCGTCCTTGCCTTACAAAACAAAAACCGCAACAGCAAAAACAAGATTAAGACTCTGGTCAAGATGGAGATTTTTCCTTCAACCAATCTATTGATGGTCGGCTTCAAAACTCCGCAGGGCCTGGTTTATAAGATTTGATATAGGTATGACGATGGAATTCAAACCTCCACTAGTTAGAGTATACCCTTTTCATCAATGATGACATGCTCAATAACCAAAGTTTTAAGTTATAACACACTCAAAGATGTTATGACCCGCGAAACGGCGACTTACAAACCACGCTTGTTAATCACCTACTAAGGTAAACCATCATTAAACACCCCACAAAAATTACTAAACAGGTAGTCGTAAGTTCGCTGGCTGCAGGTGAGCGCTGGCCCTCAAATACAAACAATCTGGCCCTTTGTTTTTTCTCCGAAACAACTTTTATACCTATGTTTCAATCGGTGCTTGAAAAAAAAGTAAAATCTACAAAATCACTTTTTTTCCAAGATGGCATGTCTCAAAGAGCCGCAAAGTGCCAAAGCGTCACAGAGCCGCGAAGTCTCAAAGCGCCAAGAAGCGCCAAAGCGTCAAAGAGCCGCAAAGCGCCAAAGGGCCAAGAGGCACCAAAGCATCAAGAGCGCCAAGCGCCAAAGCGCCAAAGCGCCAAAGCGCCAAAGCGTCAAAGAGCCGCAAAGCGCCAAACGGCCAAGAGGCACCAAAGCATCAAGAGCGCCAAGCGCCAAAGCGCCAAAGCGCCAAAGCGCCAAAGCGCCAAAGCGCCAAAGCGCCAAAGCGCCAAGCGCCAAAGCGCCAAAGCGCCAAAGCATCCAAGCGTTCAGGCTTTGAGGCTTTGAGGCGTAGGACACGCGCCAAAGCGCCAAAGCATCCAAGCGTTCAGGCTTTGAGGCTTTGAGGCGTCGGAAAAGCGTCAAGAAGCGCCAAAGCGTGCAAGAGCCGCCAAGCGCCAAAGCGCCAAAGCGCCACAGCATCCAAGCGTTCAGGCTTTGAGGCTTTGAGGCGTCGGAAAAGCGCCAAGAAGCGCCAAAGCCTGAAAGAGCCGCCAAGCGCCAAAGCGCCAAAGCGCCAAAGCGCCAAAGCATCCAAGCGTTCAGGCTTTGAGGCTTTGAGGCTTTGAAGCGTGAGGCGCCAAAGAGGCTTTGCAGCTTTGAGGCTTTGAGGCGTGAGGCGCCAGAGAGGCTTTGGAGCTTTGAGGCTTTGAGGCGTGAGGCGCCAAAGAGGCTTTGCAGCTTTGAGGCTTTGAAGCTTTGAGGCGTGAAGCGCCAAAGAGGCTTTGCAGCTTTGAGGCTTCGCAAACCTTAGCGGGCCTGATCCCCCATACTCTGTATATATGATATATATGATATATATGATACATATGATATATATGATATATATGATATATATGATATAAATGATATATATGATATATATGATATATATGATATATATGATATATATATATTATAATATATATAATATAATATGATACAATAAATAAAATATAATATATAATATTTAATATTTAATATATAATATGTAATATATAATATATAGTATATAAAATATAATATGTAATATATAGTATAATATATATATGATATATAATATATAAGATATATATATATATATTATTTCTTATATGTCTTTTTTTCTTATATATATTATTTATATTATATACATATTATATTATAGATTGTATATTATATATTATTTATTATATATTATATAATAAAAATATATATTATATATTATTTATTATTTTTTATTTATTATATATTATATATTCTATTATATATATATTATATTACATAATTTTTATTATTTAATATATATTATACATGATATGATATATGATATATTATTTATTATATATTATACATTATACAATACATATTATATATTATATATTATATATTATATATAATTTATAATATAATATTATATATTATATATATTATATATATTATATATATTATATATTTGTTTTTATATTTCATTTTTTGTATTATATATTCTATATTATAATATTATATTGTATATTATATAATATTTATTTTTATATATTATATATTATATATATTTTGTATATTATCGAAGGAAGTTTAGAAGTCAAACTTCCGACAATATGGACAGATGAAAAGCAGAGCAGGGAAGAGGCAGAGAGAAGAGAAAGATTAGAAGAGAGAAGATCAGAGAAGAGAAAAAGTCAGAAGAAAGAAGGTGCAGATGCGCGAAAAGGTAAGAAAGTCGCGAAACATTGTGTTTTTCCAATGATTTGGGGCTCCGGAGGGTCGAAAAGTAGGCTCGAAAGCGGCGGGTGCGGAGCCAGCTGGCCAGATGAGAGATGAAAAATTGCACGCCGTTGTGGCGAGAAGCACATTTGGAAGAAAACAAATTAAAAACACCAGGGGTTCGGACCACTTTTCGAAGTTGCGATGTCGAAAAAGTGCACGCCGTTGTGGTGCGAAGCACATTTCCAAGTCAAAATGTACAAAGCACACCATTCTCGGACTACTTTTGGAAGTTGAGATGTCGAAAAAGTGCACGCCGTTGTCGCGCGAAGCACATTTCCAAGTCAAAATGTACAAAACACATACTATGTTCGGACCACTTTTGGAGGCTCAGATGTCGTTTCGCTTCGCTTGGCTTCACTAGATTACACTACATTACACTACACTCCACTACACTACACTA